TGAGCCAGCCGAGTCTCGTTTCGGCAAGCATTCGAACGAGACCTGGATATTTGCGACATCAAAGGAGGGGGACCTGCGGTAAGGCATACCGTACCGAATCATTAGGTGCGACCTGCAACCATTGCTCTTACTAGGGATCCAGAGCAGACTCGAAAACTGTTTGAAAAGTACAAGCCAACCCATGTCATTCATCTGGCAGCAGTCGGTAAGTCTTCTACTGCGCATCGATAGCATACGATGTGCTGATTCTGTATCTAGTGGGCGGCGTATTCGCCAACATGAGGAGTAACGCCAGTGCTTGTCTCTATCCTGGCTTCCTTGTACATTGACATCCCTGCAGGCCAGTTTCCTGAGGGACAACCTTCTCATCAACGATAACGTCCTACACACGTCCTACCTCTTCAAAGTCCAGAAAGTCGTGTCGTGTCTCTCGACATGCGTCTTCCCGGACAAGGTCACCTACCCCTTGGACGAGACGAAAATCCACCTCGGCCCACCGCACCCAAGCAACTTTGGTTACTCGCATTCAAAACGGACAGTGGATATCATTAACCGGTGTGCCTTCTATTCGTTGATATCGATATACAATCTGATCGTCTATTGCAGGGCCTACAAGGAGCAGTACGGCTGCAACTTTACCTCTGCCATCCCCACGAACGTGTTTGGCCCTCATGATAACTTGTAGGCTTCTCACGCCATATCCGATTTCCCATCCTGATTGTCTTCAGTGATCTGGAAGACGCTCACGTTATCCCCGCTCTAATTCACAAATGCCTGCTAGCACAGAGTACGTCGCATAATCGCGTAACAATCACCTCACCCATCGTATTGTATTCACAGAGAACAACACACCCTTCATCGTCGGTGGAACCGGAAAACCTCTGAGACAGTTTATCTACTCTCACGATTTAGCCAAAATGTTCATTTGGCAGCTTCGGGAGTATGAAGACGTTGAGCCTGTCATCTTTTCCGGTTCGTGTCGCTGTTTCTTGCGAAATTCTATATTCTGAGGGATCTATTTAGTTGGAGAAGACGAGGAAGTCACTATCAAGGATGTCACGGACGCTATTGTGAAGGCACTGGACTTCAAAGGCGATTATACTGTAAGTGATGCATCCTTTACTATTTGCACTGCGAGACGCGTTTGTACAGTTCGACACCACTCGCGCAGACGGCCAATACCGTAAACCTGCCTCTAACAAGAAAGTGATTTCCCTAATGGGAGGCTTCCAGTTCACTCCGTTCCCTGAAGGTGAGCCTTACCACCGCCCATGCCGGAAATTGAGTTACTCATGCGACATACAGCCCTCGACGCAACTGTGAAGTGGTTCTTGACGAACTATGATACCGCCAGAACGGGGTTCAAGAAGTAGATAGAATGGACAATTTGGCATTAGATGCACAATGGAAATCAACCAAATTCATCCCGTCACTCTGAGGGTATACACAAAAAACAAACAACGAATGTCCAGTCCGTGGTCTAATACAGCAAGATGCCTCCTTGGGTTTTGTACAGAATAATACCTAATTTTGATCCTCCACTAAGCTTTTGACAGCCTTAAGGTCCGCCGCGACCATCTCCTTTACCAGAGAGTCAAAGTCAACCTTGCGCTTCCATCCCAGAACACGCTCAGCCTTTGCAGGGTTCCCAAGGAGGAGACTATGATAACGATGAGTAAAGGTTGCGTGCTAATATCAGGGTGTACATACTCGACTTCTGCCGGACGGAAGTACTGTGGGTCCACCTTTACGACAGCCTTACCCGTCTTAACATCGATCGCCTCTTCATCTACTCCTTGGCCAGACCATCTGTATGCGAGTATAAGTAGAAAACAAAGTAAAGAAGGGCGCAGCGCACTGTAGCTCAATACCAAGCGCCGCAAAAGACTTTTTGACAAACTCCCGAACAGGGTGAGTCTCACCAGTAGCAAGAACGAAATCCTCAGGAGTGGGCTGCTGCAACATGAGCCACATCCCCTCGACGTAATCGCGCGCTATCCAAGACGTAAGAAGACAAAGATATAAAAGTCGAACAATACCCACCGTGTCCCCAATCACGTTGAGCATCCAGATTCCCAAGATACAAGCACGACTGCTTTCCCAGCGAGATATCAGCGGCCGCTCTCGTGATCTTCCTCGTAACGAACGTTCGGCCTCTCCGTGGGCTCTCGTGATTGAACAGGATCCCATTGCACGCATACATCCCGTACGCCTCCCGGTAATTAGTGACTATCCAAAAGGCATAGAGTTTGGCGCATCCGTAGGGCGACCGGGGGTAGAACGGGGTTGTCTCACTTTGAGGGGTTTCCACGACCTTGCCGTACAGCTCAGACGTCGACGCCTGGTAGAACCGCACATGCTTCTCGAGCCCGCAGGTACGGATGGCGTCGAGCAGCCGCAGCGTGCCCAGCCCGTCGACGTCCCCAGTGTACTCGGCCATCTCAAAGGAGACCTTGACGTGCGATTGCGCTCCGAGGTTGTAGACCTCCGTGGGCTGGACCTGGGCGATGATGTACACGAGGTTGGTGCTGTCGCTGAGATCGCCGTAGTGCAGCTTGAACTTGTTGGGCCCTGGGGGACGTCAAAGGGGGTACGGGCGAGCAGGACGGGGCGACGTACGTTCATGCTGATCTTCGTAGAGATGGTGCAGACGACCGGTGTTGAAGCTCGACGAACGGCGAATGATGCCGTGCACTTGGTAGCCTTTGGAGAGCAGGAGTTCCGTTCTGTTGCCCGGCGAAAGATGAGAGAAAATCGCAGGAACTGTGGTGGTACGCACAGATACGAGCCATCCTGGCCGGTGATACCTGAAGTCATCCATAAATAAGCGCGCGATCCGACTGCAGAGACATACCGGAAATGAGAGCGACCTTTCGCTTGCGATACTCTTCTGCAGACGGTAATTCAGGCTTTGCGAATGGAGGGACGACGTCTGCGATGGACATGATGGTGATGGAAGGAAGGAGAGGCTAATATTGGCGCCATGTTAGGTTCATTATTTTTGCTGCGGTCGCTATTTCGTTTCACAATGATCTGCTTCGATTCTTATCCGCTATCCGGACTGCGTTGCTACAGCGCGCCTACTGACATCACGATACAGGGACAGTAGGACAAATGCAGGCACAATTTCATAGACGGGCAAAATGGGACTGAACAAGACCCCATTTTAATATTCAATATTCTAGTACAAGGGCGACGATGCCCGCAAAATCCATCGGTTTGGGGTCTCGTGCCAGATGGAACCATCAAAGTCGGTGATTTCGATGCTGATTCTGGTCCGTCTTTCGTTTTCACAAAGATTCGCTTGTAGTTATCTACGCCGCAGATAGGCACGAATGCACGTAATTCATCTTGACGGTAATAGAGGGCAAACTGGTGAAGGTGTCTTATCAGTGAGTCACTTGAGGTCGATGGAACATACACGAAATGCCCGAAACCTGAAGCTGAAGGCTAGAACACTGAACGCTCTAATATAGAAACGCTACAAGGAGAAAAGGATAGTAGCCGCCGCATGTTCTCATGTCAATCAGGAAAAGCTGTATTTCACCGTGATCAAAGAGCCCGTCTAGTTTTGAGTAATGTTACATACTGTATAACAGGAAATTTTTACCATCAGTACCTACCGGCAAAAAATGATAAAAAATACACACACGCTTCTCCACAGAGTAGATGCATATATCCTTCGTCGAACCATAAGCTTCAAAGCACTAGCTTTTGTCAGTCGACCGTAATGCAAAAGGGCTGGTACGACGCTGAAAGAATAGCACCGGGTCATCATAATTCGCGTGTCCGGGAAAGCATCAGATGTAGAAGCGACGTTGATGGATACCTGACAGTGTGCGGAGCTAGCATGATTTGATCATGATATCGGTATTCATGTCGCTTAAGCTTAAGGTGCAAGAGCGAACGCAGCGTAGGTCCCGCTTGTCACGCAGACTCGGAATATGCTCGCAATTTTAACGTTATTATACAATGTAATTCTTCAAAGCGGCCTTGTGTACTGTCAATGGGAAAGAATCAAGCGAGAGTACATGATTGCACACCTGTTTGCAGCGGCCGCGGACTAGTAGGAGAAGATCTGCCAGGGCCGTTCATAAAAGGCGCCTTCTAATTGGTCTTGGTCTTCCTCGAAATTGCTCGCCTGGTCAGTATCCACGCCGCTGACAGGATACCATACGGCGGAACCAACCAGCTCAGCACCCAAGTCCACCCAACAGCATTCTCCAATTCTTGAACAAACGCCGTAACCTGTCCTTCAAGGTTCTCCCTGGTACTCGAGTTGTCGATCACAACATCCGCGTACTTTACTTTGTCGCTGATGGGTAGCTGGGACGATAATCTGGCAGAGGCATCTTCTCGCGTTGAGCTATCACGCTGCATCAATCGCTCAAGTTGTACCTCCTCGGGACTAGGAAGACGCGATTAGCAGACGGAATGAACACATTAGTAGGGACATACCAGTATACTACGGCGACCTGGGCGACCCACTTCCATATAGGCCCTTCAATAAGAAGTGGCACATCCAAGACGCAGTATTTCCGCCCACAGAACCAATGCTTGACCACCTCCCAGACCATCGTCCTACGAATAGCAGGATGCAGAATTGCATTCAATCTCTTCCGCTTCGACTCGTCGTTGAAGATGACCGAGCCCAGCTTCTTTCGGTCCAGGGATCCATCAGGAGACAACACCCCCTCTCCAAAGTGCTTGACAATCCGCTTGAGCCCTGTGGTACCAGGCTCGACGACCTTCCTGGCTATGATATCGGCGTCGACGATAGGAACGCCCTTGTCGCGCAGCAGAGTAGAGACCGTCGATTTGCCGGTCGCGATGCCTCCCGTCAGACCTACGACTGAGAGATGGTGTCAAAAAAAGAATGTAGTAGGTAGTGAAGCATAGGGACCCACCGAACATGACAAGTGCAGTTAAAGAATTCTTGCCTGGCCAAGTAGAAGATCATTATATGCATATATAAACCTCATTAAAGTAGCTTATTATATCCGATCTTAGCTCAGTTGGAAGAGCGTGGGACTGTAATCGGATAAAACGGATCATGATGTCATTGTGTCATTTATCATCCCGAGGCCGTGCGTTCGATCCGCACAGATCGGATTTTAGCTGGTTTTCCAATTCTTTTTGTGAGCAATGATTCCACTGAACAGTGAACAGTGAACACTAGGATTGCGCACGAAACCTCCAAGGGGGGTAACTTACCGTTTGTTACCGACCCCTCCCCAAGGGGGTGTTTTGATACGGTAATTTACCGTTACTTACCTATCACGTGCAAAATCACATGACAAACACGTGGTAACTGTAAATTATTTTTTCAGGACGTCCGTGTTCGTGTTTTAGGACATTTTCTTTGTCGAGGATGCTCTAAGTCATCTGAATATATTGCATATTCACTGCTGCACCACATATGCAGAATATACATGTAATTGTATTGAATTTTCATGCTTATCAGGCAGTCACATGATGTGTAAGTTACCTCGACGGAAAACCCCTCCAGCGAGGGGGGTTAACTTACCAGTAACTTACCGGTAACTTACCGGTAATAAACCCAAGTGTAACGAAATGTAGGTTTCGTGCGCTACCCTAGTGAACACCAGTGACTACGGTGTGTGCACTTGTATGCTTATCTGTCAAACAAGGATCATAGAGGATTGATCAGGCCTTTGAAATTAGGAGGAATGGCAAAGAATCGATGATTAATGTTGCTTTGAACAAGCAATCATGCCTGTTTAGGAGCACCTACAACTAATAAAAACACCTTCCTTCCTTCCGACTGAGCCAAGTAGCAAAAGGAAGGTCCCTACATCACTTGAGTGTCTCAACACGAAATGTACACTACAAACTGAGACATATGCATGCTATGAACTAAGATTGGGATTGTTACCTCCTCTGAGGTGAATAAGTACTAGCCTTTCACAGTGTATCTGATTGTTAAGCATTCTCTCCATAGCAGATAGACAGCAAAGACTAAACATATTTCACATAACTATGCACTGTCCAGCTCGTAACTCAAAACCCCTGCTAAAGGTCTTTGACTGGCATCCATATTGAAGCAGTCCTTCAGCAACACCCAGATTGGCCCAGGTACGTCAGAAGGCTTTTCAGGTCGATACCCATTCACTAAGACTTCATTGATAATCGCCCCTTCTGCCCAAATGTTAGAGAAGGGAGGCCGGCCACTGTATATCTTTCAAGAGTGTTAATTTCGGCTATGAATATCGTACCCCAAATGACCCTCACCTCAACGACTGTACACCCATATGAGTAGATGTCTCTTGCTGTCACATATCGTTGATCAAAGAGTCGAATCGCCATCAGCTCAGGAGGAAGCCATCGTAGAGAACCGCTCAGACGAGATAATAATGAGCTTCCTGGGGCTTGGGATTCAACCGCCAGCGCTAGGCCAAAGTCGCACAAGCAGCAATGAAAGTCGTCATTAACAAGTATATTAGCCTGCATGTGTATGTTAGAAAGTGCTCTCGGCAAGATGTTATACTGACTCCGCGAATGTCGCCATGGACTATAGGGGGGTTGAGTGAGTGGAGGTAAGCCATGCCTCTTGCAATTTCCGTTATCTGAAAGAGCCCATGTTAATGAAATCCAAGGCATCGGCGAGAATGAGATACGGATTGCAGCCGATTATGGCAAGGATTACGCTCAAGGAAAGACATTATATTTCCGTTCTTCATCCATGGGGAAATTAAGCAAAAACTTGGAGCAAACAAGTCCCTTCGGACACCTAGGAATGGAAGGATATTTGGGTGCTTCAAGTTCCTCCACAAAAGGGCTTCGCTACAGAAGTTCTGAAGGTTGGGTGAGCGGTCAACGATCAGGATGTAACAATACAGTACATACTCTGATTATTTGCTCCCTTTTCTCAAAGCCATTGTCCGTGAAGAATCTTAGAACCTTAAAGCAGACGGGAGCTCCGTTCATCCAGCCTTTCCATATGTCCTGGAAAGTATTAGCCTCACGGAACCTCAATTAAGAGTGGATCCTTACCGCAAATCCACCTCCCCAAACCGCATGATCACCGGCATGCCGTCTGGCGGCTGGGCAGGACAGAGACATCGGAAGGATGCCATACGTCTTGGCAAGCAGCAGAAGACTCATCAGGCATCGCGAGCGGTAGGGACCATCCAAATCGGACACAGTGGAATCGCATTCCTACGTGAGCGTATAAGCGCCTCATCTGCTGGATGGTGCCTATACACGTACCTGTTGCAAGAAATTTATGGCTAGAGTAGGGTCATCATCTGCAATGTCACAAATATCTCTCCACGGCTTGTTAGAGCAGAGAAAGTCATGCAGCACCGTAGCCATGGGCCCAAAAATTAAACGATCCTGCCCCAATGAAGGGTTGTAATTGGACTCATCACCAGAATCAGATCCCGAGTCATCAGAGCTCTCATGAACGTTATCAAAACACTCATTGAAAGATGTAGCTCGGGTGCTGGCGCTTCCAGTATCGGACACGGAAGCAAAAGTGATTGTAGAAGCAATAGATGCAGTATCCTTCGCAAGCTCATTCCGGCCGATGCGAATCTAGAAAAGCTGTGGTAGTATGTTTGATACGTACACGGAAATTTCTCACCAGAAACCGTTGGCGGATGCAATGAATATCTTCGAGAATGTCCATTTCGAAGGCGAGGAGCTTGGAGTAGTTGCGGAAGCCTCTATATCGCACCTGCGCCTTCTCGATCTTTTCAACAAGTATGGAAAGCTCACTGAGTTGTCATTGAGACGGGGTGAAGACTAGGAATGGAAGCGGCATACGTACTGCATGAGTGCTGCATCACAGAATATCTCACTGCGCCTCTTCTGCAGAATCTGGACCAATTCTTTGGCACGAATCAACGTGTCGCCGATGTCAATGATGTTTTTGCCGTCACTATTGCCCTAGGAAGAATATTAGTCAGAGATCCAGGATTCCTTGGTTTTGGCTTGACAACGCCCATAGCCTACCGTCAACGATTCTAATGATGCACAAATATGGTCATTCGGGTCAGGTATATCTGAAGTTGTGCCATAATTCGAGCCACGATCCTAGATTAAGAGATTGCGTGATGATCGCAATATAAAAACATAGAATTTATACGGACAGGCTTGTCGTCTTGTACAACGTCCGTCCTTGGAGTCCTGCTATTTCCCAGACTTCCAGCGGCGATACTTGTAATACATTGGATCTCGGACGAGTCCTGTGTGAATCATTTCATATGATCTAGCCGAACATGATAGATACTCACATCCTCCCCGAACGTATTCCAATATGCTACTATCAAGCTTAGATCGTCTTGAAAGTCTGGATCGGAAACACAGTCGGGCGTCTCCATAATGATTGTTGGGTTGTGTGGAGTTACTAAGTGAGAAAAGACGAGGACATGAATTAGACAGCACGGCTGAAGAGCCTTCCCAGAGAGGGACTGAGCAGCTGTGTCGACTGGCAGAAGGGGTTTGGCAACACGAGAGCAATCAAGGGTCGCGTCGTTCCATCAGACATTCATCTCTGAACTTAGCAAACAAGTCTTGCCTCATACTTAGTCAGCTAATACACGACGGTCCACCGCATATCCATCCCAGGGCGTACGAGGAGCCCTAGTGAGGAATACAATTTTGGTTTGCATCCGCAGGACGGGGGAGAACGATAGAGAAGGTGGTGGTACCGGCGCCAGGTCCCAATCAGGAACGGCCGGGTCTGAAAAGTAGACGTTCCATAAGCCAGGAGATGAACTGTCTCCTGCCAAAATTCCGACCACGGATTGGAGAGCCTCAGAATGGTGAGGTCGTAGTTTCACAACATACGACATCTTGTGATACATCATATGTAATCAGTCAACCATCGAGCCACCAGCTCCGAGGTAAGAAACTTTGGACCAGAGCGCGGGCTGATCTGTAGAAGGGAAGGCACTGACGAGGTCGATAAATGCTACGTAAAGCACTTTTTGATCCGCCCAAGCACGGCCAATAGTCACACGAAGAATGAACATATTGTTGTTCGTCCGATAATGCTTGCGGAACCCATTTTGCGAAGGAGGCAGAACGTTGTTGGCCTCCATCCACTCCCAGAAGCGTCTATCAATGAGCCATGTGAGGACTTATGATTCATGATCGTGACAATGCAGCTGCTATATGATTCAAAAGATCTGGGAAGGAAACGAAAAATGGGCGGCTCGTTTTGTCTGAAGTCTCGTCGCGGATGTGGGGGTAAATGGTGAAGAAAGGAAGTAACGGATTCGGAGCCGATTGTTCCCGAAGACTCAGCTAGTACCGGTATTGGTAACCACGATGATTGACAGTAATGGTGATACCGAGACGATATGACCATGTTCGTTAGTGCAATGTAAACCCTCTCACTGATTCTCTGATCAGCGCTTCAGCCCCGAAGCTCCAAAAATGAGTCCCAGCTATTCTGTTGTTCCTTCTTGGAGCATCAAGCTGTGTAATGTTGTACTTCTACCTGCAACACGATCTTCCCATCAAGGAGAATTAGTACCCTGCTAAGTGCAGATTGATCTCTTCTCGCTATTACCTTGATCTTTCACTGCCACAAATTAGCATATCACTGCGATGTATCAGAAATTGGGAAGGTTGTTCTCATCAAAATTGCCATGCTACGACTCAAAATATCTCTCTATTGGTGTCGTCTGAAACAATGCTCTATCCTTTATATGAGCGATACACTTTAGTCCATCTTCCGTCATCCTCTCTCTTGTTCGCCATCACCAATCTGAGTCTAACCACCGACTGTCATGACCGCAGAAACAGATGGTCCAGCAGGTCTTACTGCCGATGACATTGCCTTCATTGTCAAGAATCTTAATGCTGGGTTGAATCAGACTGTTTTCCAAGGTCAATTATTTGGTACGAAATTGCATAACCTCCTCAATTTTCGGTCTAACCTTAGAGACACATGTAGGCATATATACCGGAATTGTGGCCTTCACATTGTGGAACATCTGTGAGGATTCAAGAAAACATGTTCCTACACATACTCTCCTGTTTCTGTAATACTGAAATCAGTCACACAGATACCAGAACATGTCAACCTATTCGAAGAGCTATGATCGTGGTTATCATGATCCTTCATGTCATGGCTGCCA